AATGATGTGCTGATCGATGTTAATGAGCCGGCGGCAAGGAGTCTTTGATCTGGTCTATAAAGGCCGAAGCTTTCAATTGAGGTCTTTCGGCCCGGTCTTAGTGGCGGTACAATCAGACTCTCCTGAGAGTAGGCGGAGCGCAGAGCGAGAGGCGACGAGGATGAATGATCGCCGTGGACCACGTAGTTATTGTCGCTGCTTGCGGTCTTAGGGGGACTCGGGTGATTCGATGTCGGCCAACACGGCGAGGAGCGGCCGAGGACCTCGTAGTTCGAGTCACTGGTGGAAGGCGGGACCAAGCTATCCGTGTCAGGATGCGCTTCAGGCGCGAGGGGCTGGCGAGCGTTATAGACTTTGTAATTTGTTGTTACCGAGTCTGTGGAAGCAGATTGCAAGGACCCAAACGACAGCTCTGAAGACTTGTTGAGCAGGGAGTGCAAGCCTCCTTCTCGTTCGGTAGTTGCTGTCGCCTCGAGCAGTGTAGGGAGCGGATTATCAGACGAAAGCGGGCGCTGGGTCTGTTTTGGGGCTGGATCGGGGGTTTTGGAGACCTTGCGAAGGCCCCCTATGAGCTGATAATTCCAAGGAGATGAGGCGAAATCGGCTATCGGATCCTCACTTAATTGCACAGTGGAGGAGGTTGGGGTGCAGGGGGAGAAGCTTCGGTCAGGCAACGTGGTCATGGGTGAGCTAGGACGACCTTCGCCGGAGAAAGCGGATGAAAGTCGTTCAAATGAGCTCGAGGCGGACAACGACAAGGACAGGGATACCGAAGGCGGGATCGAGTCGCTCTGCGGCTCGAGAGAGAAAGTTTTGGTATCAGAATGGACATTGATGCGATGGCGACGGCGAGACGGGGCGCGAGATGAAGAAATTGGCCTGAAGGCGGCTTGGCCTTCTTTGCGTTGGGCCGATGCATGAATAAGGGAAATATGCGATGAGTTGGTTGGCGCAGGGGATGGTGTGAGAGAAGCGTCAGGGACCGGGCTGGTAGGGGTGGTCGGTTTGCTCGAGGCCGTGCTCATACTCTGGCTTTGGCGATAAGGTGCTGCAGACGGTTCTGTTCCATCTCCTCGTTTCGAGGCTGAAACACGATTGTCGATGGCGGTTACCAATCGAACCGTGGAGGTATGAGAAGATCTCAACGTGGAGGACGTTGACGGCAGTCGGTCGGTGCCATATTGACGATGGTCGATCGGTGACTTTTGAATATCGCGACTGGGTGGATTGTTGCTGACAATTGTTGGATCAACCTGTACACTGGCGGGTCGTGTCGGCCTGTAAGGTACTATACAAGTAGCCGAGTCTGTTGTTCTGTTAGGCGCTAGGTTGAT